CCAGCCCCAGCCCTGGGAGGTGGTGACGAGCCGGACAGCCGCCAATAGGAAGCCTCTACTCTGCATATTTCGCAAAGGTTTCTGGGAGTGCAATGTAAGCAAGAAACAACGGTAAAGACTTTGAAGTATTTTACTTCGAGATGTTTTGGGCGTTAAGGAGAGGTGGCTTCGTCGTGTGGGTGATGAAATTTTTCCCCTCGGCAGATCACCGTGGGGTGAAGATGGTCGGGAGCCGCGGCCCATATATACAGCTGCGGGCGGCGGAGTACTCTGGATGTGAGGGCGATCTGGCTGCGACATCTGTCACCCCATTGATCGCCAGGGTTGATTCGGCTGATCTGGCTGGCTAGGCGGGTGTCCCCTTCCTCCCTCACCGCTCCATGTGCGTCCCTCCCGAAGCTGCGCGCTCGGTCGAAGAGGACGACCTTCCCCGATAGAGGCGGTACCGTTCATCGGTCAAGGGTATACGGTAGCTGCGCTCCCCTGCTAGAACCTCCAAACAAGCTCAAGGTCCAGTTGTAGGAGAACGTAGGGTAGTCAAGCTTCCAAGACTGCAGACACATCCAAGTGAGGCACTGCATGGGGCAGTCTGCCATTGTTTTGTGGCCTGTCGGGCAAAACCTGCTACACCAGTGATATGCAATATAGCGTATAGTTCGAATGCCTCTGGGCTGGAACCCCTTTTTGCTCACTCACTATATCCACACTGCGGTAGGGAGAGAGGGTGTGTGTGCACTCCTAGGGAATCCTAATTAACTTCTAGTTCCATTTATCACTTCTGCCGCTTCCAGCCCCCAGCCACCTACAAACCCTTGAGCTCCTCACCCTCCACACACGCCCGTTACAATCTAGCATGTTTGCGCCTGTACATGCATTTCTCACCTCATTCATCACCTGTACAATCCACTTTACGCCCACTTGGACAGTTAGCAAAAGAGGCAGGTTTGCAAGTTAACAACTGCCTTCAGCTTCTACACCCTTGAAAGCAGGGGAAGGCAGCTGAGGAGGGGTGACACAAGACACTGAGAACAAGAGCAGAACCGAACAGAACATTTCAGTCGGAAGGCACCTACGATGATCACCTAGTCCAAGTGCCTGTCCTTCTTCCGAGGCGTTAACACATCCTCTAACTCAGCCTTGCAGTCGATTTCAGAGCTGACATCCAAGGACTAAACTACTAGCCCTACACAGAGCTCACGGCGTGCTGCAGAAATGACGCGCTTAGACTCAAACCAAGTAGCCCATCAATCTGCAGAAAGAGCAGAGCTGCTGGGGGCAGTACCCCTGCGAGAAGGCACCGAACGTAACCAACAAAAGCCAAACTAAAATGCTTTTTTTGAAAAACGGAATAAAAGATCAAGACTCAAGGCAGTCAGTATTTCTTCAAGAGTAACTTTATTCTGGGCAGGAGACTTAACACAGAAGGAATGAAACAAACATTTATGGTTTTGAACAAAAACACCGAATAAACAAGAACTGTTATTTCTTTATTCACCCTGACAAATCCACCCTCTCCTTCCATGTAAGTTCCAAAATGTTCTCACAATATATGTCTTCCTCCTCACATTGTGGAACGTCCTATTCACATCAACAGCCTTATTAGATATGGAAATACCACGGAAGTGGGTTTTCTGGCTTGGGTTTTTGTTTTTTTGCTAACATCATGGCACTTACACAATACTTTTATGAAAATCTCGATTACAGAGGTAAACGAGTCCACTACCAGGCTCCTTTATTTCCAACGGTCATTATTACATGTTATGCATAAGCCTGAGAAAATGTAAACAGTAGAATTCTAAAAACTTTTTGCATAAAGATGCTGCTAAATATTAAAACACAAAGAAGTTGGTTACAGATGATAAATTCTCAGATATGTTGCTTGTCCAGGTTTCAGTATAATAAAGACCTAAATCTTTTCCATATCTGTATTGCACACTGAGACAGCACAGTAAAACAGACAGCTCACTCAACTCAGTCTTTACTCAAAAAGAACTTTTTCCACCTTCAGTAGGAATCTGCTCAAGTAAAGGCTACAAGTGCTGCCATTATACTTAGCTAATTTTCCGTCCCACTTAGTTAAAACTAGCAGAAGTGATTCTCAATATCACGATTATTAGCTTTTTTTTTTTTTTTTCCCAAAATAGAGGCTTCAATTTGGGAAAGGAGGAGATATGCCAAAAAAGTACTACTTCTTTTTCTAATGTTTTTGCTGAACTGACCAAAACCTGAATGCTACGACCAAGAAAATCACTGCAGGGCTGCTAAAGGCTCACAGATCACAGGCCTGATTCAGATTCATCCCATATTACTTTAAACATGTGGAATAGCCCCCATCCTTAGCAGAGAGACCCCGGGGTCTCCAGAGGGCTGCTAAGTTCTCAGGTGAGCCAAATTTCTCTTGAGATGATTCTCACTCACCACTACTAAAGAGTCACAACAAAGGAGCTCAGCTTCGCTGCCTGCGGTTAGGTAGGGTGAATCCAAGCCTCAGCAGCCCGGTCTCACAACTTGTTCGTCTCCTGCTTCCACTAGTAGGAATTAAGCACACGGAACAGACTAGTTAAACTGCCTCCTTAGGTCTAGAGACAGTTAGGACAGGTTCAGGGTGTTCCCTCTTGAGACCAATCATTCAGTGACAGAATAAATTAAACGGTATCTAGACATAAATACAGATATTTATTTCCACGAAGAGAAACAACTATCTTTCCAGTTTTAACACAAATATACATATTTCCCTTTCCACTTACCCAAAGACACCATCAGTGTGTGCTTCAGAAATCGAATGGCTGCTTTATTTTACTGCTATGTGTTGGCATCACTGCTTTGGAAGCCGTTAGGTATGGTCTGGAGTCAGCACAAATAACAGAGCAGCAGGACACATAACACGCCCTTGGCATGTGTAAGTCTTCCACGCATACTTTTTTTTTTTTTTTTCCATGCATAGACCCTTTTTCTCTCTTTTTGTCTTGTACTGTCTCACTGTGGACTGAGTCCATAAAAGCAAACAGTGACCAGTGCTCCTCACGGTCCCCCAGTAGCACTGAGCCAGCAGCCTACCCCAGGGGACAGTTTCCTCTCAGTCCCACACAATTCTCCATAGGAATTATGGAAAAGGCCAGCACGTGTCATCGGTCTCCAGCCCGCAGCAGCTGCTCCTTGTGGGTGCCAGCAGAACCCACAGAGAGGATCTCACTGACACACGAGCCATTCGGCTCCTTTGAAACGGCTGGATGTGGAGAACCGTATCTGTTCTGATCGCTTTACGTTGGATTTAAGTCTCATAAATACACAGTTTTCCCGATCTGCTCATAAAAAAGAGCTTGCAAAGGTGAGCATTTCTGTATACTTCTGCAGGAAGATGCGTTTTCACAGCACACCAGCTTTGGTGATGCTGTTCTCAAACGCAGCTACAAAAGACGGTCGTTCCGCCACAGCACTGCGCTGTTTCGTCTTCCTCCTGTGGAAGGAGCTGCAGGAACAGCCGAATGCTGGCTCTGATCTAAATGAATCATTTGCTGATGGCTGGACTCTGGCACTCCTTTTCAGTGCAGAATTCAACCAGACTATGGAGCTATTTTCTTTTCTCTGTAACCTGATAACTCATTTTCTCTCATAAACTGAGTTAAACTCAAAAGAGCTGCATCAGTTTCAGAAATCAACCACAATTTTAGAACACTTTTTAGCAGGACCAGGTAAGGTCCCATTTTTCCCAGTACAGCCTGGGGGCCTGATTTACAGAAGCTGACATATTCTTCGCATTGTAGTGAAGAAGAACTGAAGTAAGCTTAAATTGACTTATTTCCTATGGATTTTTTTTTCCCAAAAGTCATTTAGAACAGTTGTGAAAATTAAGTCAGCTGCATAGACACTGTTTCCTTAAACTCTGCTGCTGGTATATCACTAATACTTTGAAACCAGCTTTATAATTATTCATACTGTCTCAAGTATGTCTTCAGATCTTATATTCCCAACAACAACAAAAAAATAAGAAACAGAATCTGATTCTTCTCTTTAGAAATCATCAGAACATTGAAATGAATTTAACAGAGGTAGGTCCACATTCTATCTCATAGTGAACAATGCCAAGAAGCAACTTTGAAGCAGGACAACAGAGCGCTGTGTCAGAAAATGGATCTATAGAAGGGTATTTGCCCTTCACCGAACAGGAAGATTCCCCAAATTTGGTAAAAGCAAAAGAATGCAGCGGGAAGGCTGGACAGCAGTCCAACAAAACCTTTTAAAGGCAAAAATAGATTAAAAAAAAAAACCCAAAGCCTCCCAGAGACTTGCAGTGGTCTCTCAGTGACTGCAAAGGCAAGTTTAAATTGTTAGCGACTCATTCTTTCGATGTCAGCACACAGCAAATGAGTACAGGACAGCAGAAGCGTGGCATCAAGATGTGCCACCATTGAAATTGTACAGCCTCATTTAGCACATAAACTTCAGAAAATGTCTAATGAATGCCCCTTCCTCAGTACTTCTCTCCCACTGCAATATTGCACCACTTTGCTTTTTTAATCCACTTTTTTATAAAAGTTGATTCTATTAAAGGAGAAGTGAATTTTTAAAAAAGTTCATTATAAAAAATTTATCGTATAAAAATGCCAAACCCCCTAAGCCATATATACAAAATGCATCAGATTTATGAAAATAACTGGACCCAATTATATAACAAAACGATTTTATACAAAAAGGTAGAAGATTGCATTCAAATTAATACAAATAAAATTTAAAAACCCTTCAAAATGTCTCGTTCATAGAAGATCTGTTTCTTTTAAATTTACAGGTATATAAAACAGTATCAAATTGTCTCATGTTAGCCAACACTTCATGGGAAACACGCACTGGTTTAGAGAGTATCGCCACGCGTCACCGGTGAGCACCATACTTTGCGGACCAGTCCACACGCCCGTGGATTGGCTGAGCTGGTGGTGGGAGAGGCATTAACCTTGGCGTGCTTTTTGTAGGCGAACTGAACGATGGCTGCCCAAGATGGGCCCTTACTGACTTCAGAGAAGCATAATCTAAGGGACAAAAGAAAATGCCATGAGATGACATGAGCTACAGTGAGTAGCTGTCCACATTGAACAGCAACTGGATGCAGGTCCAGATCCTTATTTCTTCGGGAAATCAGCCTCCTTTTTTAACAGGATTTGCTGATGTGAAACAACGGTGGATCCAATCCCTAAAACCTTCTCAAACAAGGAGTTTTTATATCATATATGTGACAAGCGTGAATTCTGTGACAGCTTTCATACCAAGGTCCCACTGAAAAATGCTGTGGATAAACCCATGTATTTCATAAACAAAGTAAAAATAAACCAAATCCTTCTCCATATGAAGTCCTGCAAGCTTACAAACTATCGTTCCAGTCAGTCAAATACTTACAAATAAAGTAAAGCAAAGATAAGTAGCTCAGTGCTGCATATATACATTACCAGAGTAAGAGCAAGGGACCAAGACAACTTTGGTACTATACTTACTAGAAGATGGATCCACAACTGGTGCTAACTGAACCCTCTGCCCAGCAGAACCTACTTCCTTCTTCAGAAATGAAGGGATATAACCGCTAGTCAGACCGCTTGATCCTATGGGCCCTGAAAGACATGGCAAGGAACACTTGAGCTCACCACAGTGGGTCTCCCATACTACCAACAGATGACAAAAGGTGTGCACTGATGGGTCACATTCAAGATCAAGCCTGATCATGGACTGATGAAAACAAGAACTTAATTGAAGACACTAGAAATCCACAGATCCTATATATATATATATACACCCGCATTCAGGAGGCTGTCAGTGTCAGACTGCATTAAAGATGAATGGAAAATAGGTACACATTGTACTCTTAGAAGGGCAATTTCTGCTTCTTCCTGACATCTCAGCTTTTTCAAGGTTTCTCAAAGCTTTCAAAACTTAGCATTTCAGTTGGAATGATTTTGTTTGACTTTCAGCAACTGGGTCCTATGAATACACTCACTCTTGATTTCTATGCAGTGAGTCTGGGACTTTGGTGCCACACAAAGCTCTTACTGAAGTAAGAGCCCAACTTAATAAACTGGGATGGATTCACGTTCCAAATTTGTAAAGTCAGCTACAACACTTGTCCCTAAGCTGAACAGGAAAAGATATGACTGACCTGTAGGATAAGCTGGAGAAAATGGAACAAAAATAGTTATAAATAAAACAGGCTAGAGTCACAGCGCGGATGGACACTAAACAAGTCAGCATGCACAGGTCAGATCCATCGCACATCTACAGCAGCAGAGCAGTGGCAAAGCATATCGTGGGAAATGATGGTAGTAAGTAAAAAAGGGAAAAATCTAATTATATCCTACGCAGCTACCAAAGAAGCAAAAACTTGTAGAAGAGCCAGGAAGAAGACATGTGCTATGTATATAAAGGTTCTCATGTAGTTTAGCCATTTACAACATCCTCCCATCTTGAATCTTTAAAGAACCATTTTCTGATGAAATTATATCCAAAATTTTAAGTCTTTATTTTTTAAACCAGAGTTTCTAAAGGCCCAAAAAGTTTATTTGGGGCAAGATTCAACAGAAATTTTCTCAATCAAACATTTTCATAACAACATAAGCATAACAAGTACTGCACTGTAAGAACTGTAACAACACATGAAAACCTGAAGCCAAGAAAGATTTAGAGAGGAAATACATAGACACAATCTAGAAACATCAACACGTTTAAGTATATCTGGTAAAATCTAACATAAAAATCTACAAATTAATTACTTCAAATCAAATATTAAGGATTAAATACCTGAAATACCAAATGCCCCAAAAACCTGAAGAAGAAAAATTGAAGAGTTTTGCTTTCTGTCCCAAGTTTTTAAAGCTACAATTATTTCACTATTTTAAACAGCATCAATTAAAAGACATGATGATAGATGACAGCTTTTATTTGCTTTATTCACGTAACAAGAGTGATGTGTATGGCTATTTCAATTCAGACCAGCTTCCTCCTCTATGACAGTCACTTATGCACCACCTGGACTAAAGTAATTTGGAAATCTGAAAATTTGACTTACAAAAACCGATGAGGGAAACTGAAGGCAAGATGAAGTATTTCAGGTTGAACAGACCTAAGCTGTCCAACCTTCTATGCATATAGTACTTCAAACCAGACTTTTGGGGATTCATCAGAAGAAATTACTGTTTCAGTCTAAGGTAGTCTCCAAATCCAAGGAACAACGCTTGTAACTGATTTCAACAGAAGGAACAGACACGGTAGCAAATTCTTTCAGAGCTGACAATGTATTAGAAATGGGTGACCCCCAAAATACAGCTGTGTGGAATTGTAGAGACATCATCTATTACCTTTTCTCAGAGTGTTAAGCACAGCTTCTTACCTGAATTCATCCTGTTAATGCTTCCTCCCAAGCTGGAAGCTTTCCCAGGCAAACCAGAACTGGGCCATGGATTAGACGGAACAGACTCTTTGTTCGAAGTGGAGACAATGCCATTCCTTGTGCTTATCCCTATTGCAAAAATGCAAAAATTACCACACTGAAATCCCTGTTCAGTTACACAGGCTTGTATTCATTCCATCTGATGCACAATCTCAGAGCAGATGTCCAGTTCAGTGAACTCAACCAAAACCTTTTCACTCTTAACATGCCTCTGGGTTACCTCCCACCCTCTCACAGGGGAATGCTATGACTAGCCATAGGCCCTAATCCCGCAAAGATAATAGTTTAAGTAGTTCCGCTAACATCAATGGCTCCTTTTGTCAGTGGACAGGATGCTTACATCAAGGCCACAAATATTCTCAAGTCACAGAAGGCAAAGCTTGCTACGTAAATGAAATCCTTGCTTTGCATCAAACACAGCATTTTACAGCTTTTAGCCTGACAAAGTAACTTGAGAGCATCGGTAGATTGCATTTCTCATAGCACTGTACTCTGCTTTGGTGTATCTACTGAAACCACAGATTGTGCAAACAGTTTGCAGTAGAGTTACGTCACGTATTATTTGTACTTAGTACACACCCCATATTTAAGCAGGGTACTTAACATGCAAGGATGCGCTCACAATTTATGGTAAAGCAAAAGCAAGCTTGGGACCAATGTGTTTTACAACCTCCTCTAGTAACACAATGCTTTAGCTACCAAAAGTCTACTTAAGTGATCCAATTTGAAAGTCATTAAATTTAATTGTTTCAGGAAAAAAGACTGAGTTTACCATCACGATACCTTCTAGTTTACTCAATTTATTTCAAGTATTAGTACTACAAGTGAATGAATAGCTAACACTGCCTTTATAAACAGAAATTATGAAAGAGGACACGTTTATATTCAGCTCATTTTAAATACAGGCAGACATGCTGTCCATCTCCTACACTTCATCCTGCCCCAGTGCTGGTCTCAGCACAGCAGAGGTTAACACAAGGACAGGCGTGCAATTCCTCTAGAGACATGGATTCGCATTCTATCTAACTCCAAGCTACAGAAAAACATATTCCCACTACCAGTTAGCTTCTGTTGTTCATGGTATTACATACGCATCTCCTTTTACAGTCTCTAAGACCAGTCTTACCCTTCTGAGGCAAACAGGGAATAGCTTGACACATTAACAGGTATTTTCAAACACACTTCAAAGTGTAAAAGAGTATCCGGCAGGAGGAAGAAGTACCAACAATCCTGTCCCCTTCTTGTAAGTAGGATTTATCTCAGCTGCTGGATTGCTAGAATGTAGTGTGTCTCATGGCCATCTACACTGGCAAAGCTCTTGCTTTCCTCACTTTCTTTAAGCAGCAGCCCTCCTCCACAAGCTCCAAGGATAAAGCCTAATGTACCAATGACTATTTCATACTGCTGTTGGAATTACAAGAAGAAAAAGAAATAAGTATTTTTTACTAACCAGGTAGGTACCTAGAATGTCTCAAGTAGTGTTGCTTTGCTGCAGAAACTCGCAATGTGGGAGTGTCCTGCCGTGGGAAGGTTGTATGGGAAGGTGCACTGCTGCCAGAGCCTACAGCATCCAAAGGCTTCAGGTCCAAAATGCTTTCAAATCTATAACCCCAAAATTGTTACACTTAGTCCAATTTTTATAGCACATGTTTATCCACAGTTGGCCTTCTCAAGTCCATCCCATCTCCAGGAATCATTTCCTCATATTATGTTTGCTACAGCATAAACAATCAGACAACAGGGAGTATTTTCAGCCTGAAGCCCCTGAAAATCAGATTTCCACTTCTAGTTCCCTTATATATCACTTTTACAGTTTTTATAAATCATTTGGTAAGTTTTTCTCTGCTGTGTATAATCCATGGAAACTGCAGCTTAGAGTCACACAGAACTTTTATATGTGTGGAACGTGTCAAAATTGTTCAAATGTGAAATAGAAAGGACATATGCAAAGACTAACTTGGAAACACTTTAGCTAAGCATCATTTTCAGTGGGGAAAAATGAACAAGGGATTGTATAGACGGATGCACTATCCATCAAAAAATGCACTGCAATTCAAAGGTCAGCATTCAACAAGCAACCAAGGCAAAGCAGGAGTGAGACAAGCTGCATGGCCTTTCCAGCCTGGATATATGTTTCTAGATCCACAGAAAGCATAAAGAGCAACAATGTGAAAAAAGAGACGAAGCCTAAGGCAGTAAGACCAAATAGCACATGGACATAAGGGAAACCAACTTACCGGCAAAGAGTTTCATCACCTTGCCTCTTCTTGTTTTTCAAGTCCACCCTCGTGATGGAAGAGCTGAAATCAAGGTCTTCCAAGTCATCCCAGTCTTCAGAACTCTTCACTGTTCTAGCAAGATGTCCCCATCTTCTCCTAGTTTTTGGCTTAAGTTCACCATTTATATTCTCAGTCCCAGCAGATGTCTTCTGTTATAAAGATTGAAAAGAAACAAACCCATGCACTTACACCATAAAACAGGTGACAGGAACAAAGAAGAGGTTTTTTCCTGTCTCAAAGAGTAGTAGGGGTAGTATAACTGTAACAACAGAATCCTCATCTTTCATGAAACATGCTGAAAAAACTATCTGTAGCCTGTAGCCATTATTACATATCTTCTGCATTTCACCCTGTAATAAAGCCTCTTGCACTGACAGAAGAATAAAATTCTCAGGTCTCAATCCCAGTTCTCTTTATGTTTCACTATACAGCTCCCAAATAATCAGCTCGCACTCAATTTTTGTTTCTTGACCCATCTAGGGAGTACAAAACTGCATGCACATTCATGTTTCCACAAGCCTGTGTCTAGACGTTCATAAAATGTATTTTTCCTGCAGGACACCATAGGTACAAATTCGTGCCTCTTCAGCCATTTAAGCTCATCAGTACATTTCAACCTTGTGTGACTCTGTACCGGGCTAGTACAGACCCTGCTTTACACCGTCCTCTTAGCAGCAGCATTCACACTGTCTGCTCTCATCACCTATCTTATGAATCCAGCCGCCTTGTAGAACCAAGAGAAATGGTAGGTTCTTACGCTGAAAGAACAATCTGTTGTTTTCCACGGACAGTACAGAAGCCCAAAGGGACTATTATTCTCAGTCACATAGACTGGCTGCCTTAAATGGATGAAGGCAATAGGCCACTCCGCCTCGTTTCAATACTATTTAGCTTAATACTTTTGTCTCTGGCATCAATCCCATTAATGTTCTGACCATTGTACATCCTTTTTTTACTCATGTGAAATCAGTGTCATCCTTTAAAGGGTACAACAAAGGGAAGCATAAACGGTTTTAAAATGAGAAATCGACTGGCTTGTTTTATAGCAATTGGATTTAGATTTCAACAGAGTAACTTCCAGTTTCTAGCCGGAAGTTTAACTATTCTTTATTCCTATTTCCTGTCCTTTTTTATAAAGTATAAGAACCTTGAAAGAGAACAAGAAAGAGAAGAACAATTAAGGAAAAATCAGGCAGTATTATCAGGAAGTGTATCTTATGCTAGACGGACCTTTACCTGCTGAGGAACCTTATTGTGAATTGCTGGCAGAAGAACCTGGTTAGACTTGTCCTCCTGTAAGTAGTTACCGTGCTCAGCCCCAGAGTGGTCTGTCTTAAACGGGTACACCAAGTGCTGAGAAGACTGGCTTTGTTGAAAAGGCCTTGACGAGATGCGGGCATGAGGTTTTGGAGGGGGTTGTGCTGGAGGGACAGGCTTAATATGCAGAGACGATTTATTATGCAGTTCCTTTTGTTTCCCCAGTTCCTGAAAGCCCAGAGCATGCCCAACATGGAAGTACGGATATCGAAGTGCCTAAAACATAATGAAGATGTTAGGATCCAACTTCGGAAACTAAAGTTTTTAACTTACCCTAGCCCTACATGACAGTACAAATTTAATTTCTCTATTTTCTGGGGTGAGAAACAGCAGAAGATGCATCTCTCAACACTAGATTCTAGTGAGCACAACCTGCTTCAGAATACTGTTGCAACAGTAGAAAAGTTTCAACAGATACAAAGTTATCAAATCCTTTGTGTTCTTGCACAAAAGGAAAAGGTTCTGCAGAAGTAAGATACTTAACCAGGTATATGACCTCTCAGGGCATGCTTCATTAAGTGCTGTCTCGTCACGTGTGCTTGTGGGTGCACATGGGCGCACACACGCACACCTGTCAGCACAGATTCAGCCATCGAGACCTGAATGACCCCAGAGACAGCCCATCTCTTCCATTTTCCAGTTACAAGACCGAATCAAGTGAAAGAAATATAATCCTTATGAAAATAAGCCCCTCTCTTTTTTGGAAGACAAATTGATAAAAATATCTTTATCCTCCCTTCCACATAATTAAGGAGCTGTCAGTAAAGGCAATTAATCTCTGCCCATTTTGCTGTTTCAGGTATACTCATCTTCCCTTCCCAAAGACCTCTTGGTGCAAAAAGCTTCTGAAAGCTCAGATTCCTCCCCATATGAGTAACTTACTGTAAAACATTCATTAAAGGCTCTTAACACCAAGTGATAGTCAGTATTTTTCACTTCTCATTACCTCTGCGAGTTCTTAATCTATTTTACTTTTTAACTACTTTAATTAGCTTTAAAGCTTTTTATCACAATTTGTACTGAAGGTCTGACATAATCACAAAGGTTCAGCTGCGGTTCTACTGAAGTCAAGTCAGATTTGAACCCAGAATCACATCTGTTTTTCAAAAGGTGCCCTGCTCATTTCATTACTTGGGTACTACCACTACAGTACCAATATCTGAAATCAGCGGCTGTCGTCAACAACATCAGTTGAACCATTATATGTGCAACACTGATGACCTGGGCTATGCTTATACACAGGATGCTGGGACGCGTCTACAGTGCAGTTGAGCTGAGACCGCCCTGCCAACTGCCTTGCATAAGGTAGCGCTATCCAGGCAACACTGGGCTGGATGAGCAGGCAGTGAGGTGGATTGAAAGCTGGCTGAATGGCCAGGCCCAGGGGGTGGTGATCAGTGGAACAAAGTCTGGTTGGAGGCCAGTAGGTATTGGTGCACCCCAGAGGTCAATATTGGGGCAAATACTGTCCAACACCCCCGTCAATGATGTCAATGGTGGTGCGGAGTGCACCCTCAGCAAGTTCACTGATGACACAAAACCGCGAGGAGTGGCTGATACACCAGAGGGACCTCAACAGGCTGGAGAAATAGACTGACAGGAACCTCATCAAGTTCAACAAGGGGAAGCACCAAGTCCTGCACCTGGGGATGAACAACCCCACGCGCCAGTACGTGCTGGGGTCACCCACCTGGAAAACAGCTTTGCAGAAAAGGACCTGGTAGACACCAAGCTGAACGTGAGCTACCAATATGCCCTTGCTGCAAATAAGGCTAGCGGTACCCTGAGCTCCATGAGCAGAAGTGTTGACAGCAGGTACAGGGTGGTAGATCCTTCCCCTCTGCTCAGTGCTGGTGAGGCCGCACCTGGAGTGCTGTGTCCAGTGCTAGGCTCCCCAGCAGAACAGAGAGATGGACATACTGGAGGGAGTGCAGCAAAGGGCCATGGAGATGATGAAGGGACCAGAGCATCTCTCATATGAGGAAAGACTAAGAGAGCTGGGACTGTTCAGCCCGGAGAAGAGATGGTTCAGAGGGATCTTATCAAAGTATGCAAATACCCAAAGGGAAGGTGCAAAGAAGGTGGAGCCAGGCTCTTTTCAGTGGTGCCCAGTGACAAGACCAGAGGCAATGGGCACAAACATAGGAGTTTCCCTTTGAACAACAGGAAACACTTTTTTCACTGTGAGGCTGACTGAGCACTGGCACATGTTGCCTAAGGCAGGGGGGCTGGACCAGATGACCTCCAGAGGCCCCTTCCAACGTCAACCATTCCGTGATTCTGTGGCACGTACCAATAGCAATGAAAGAACAGCATCACAGCCTTCAGCTCTACATCCTACCTTCGCTCTGCTGCTATTCACAGTGACTGGATTATACTTAATTCAGGTGTACTTATACACACTGCAGTCACACATGTGATCATTGAGCACACACCCCATGCAGTTGATGTGGCATGCATAAGACTGATTACTGTCTTTTAATTACTACCCTTTGTCTTGCAAGTTATTCTTGGCTTCTGCTCTTCTCCCTTCTAAGAACTGCACCCCCGAGTAACTGTTAAATGGCTGTCAGTAAAAGGTGTCTTGCAGTGAAAGGAAGCATCATATGCAGAGGTGAGAAAACGAAAAGACAACCAAACCTGACTAGCTGTTGGCCGCTTTTTGGGGTCCCACTGCAGCATGTCTCTCATGAGCTGCACTGCTTCACTGCTAGCATTAGGTATGAGGGTTTTTAGGTTGTTAGGTACACACTGAGGCCAGCGAAAATTCATGGAGGCTGAGAGTTGGTAGCCTTCAGGCCAGTCATTCTGGAAGAATGAGATTTCCAATCACAAAGAAAGTTAAGTTGCAACATATCACAGTGCCTAAGTACACTAGCATATATTTTCCTATCAGTAACAGACTGTGTCCAGCTTACTCTAGACTATATTAAAGATTTCACTAGAAATTTTCACCTCAAACCTCTGGTGAGAGGTAAGTTTTGCTTTACAACCGAGCAAGTCAAAGGCACAAATGGAATCAGGAAATCGTAGTCTTGCCATGATTCCAATTTCTAGCCTCTTAAACCACAGGTTTACATGCAACACGCAAAAGAAAATTAAATTTTCGCCTAATGAAATCACAGTCTAATGACTTTGCTGTTCAAGAGTCTTTTTCTCCTCCTCTAAGTGTCAGGTTTTACAGCATAGTTATATAATGCTTATTTTGAGAAAGAAAGTTTGAATTTAGTTTACTATAGCTGAGATCAATGCCATACAAAAGCGGTAAGCATGAAAATTTGTTATTTTTGTGCTTACTACTACTGTGCTATTCTGTATTGTAGAACACTTCTAGTGTTACTGTAGTGTCGAATGTCACTTCAGCTACCTTCTTTGGCGTCCCCAAGACTTGGCAAATTTTGAATATAGTATCAATTTCACTGGCGCCTGGGAAGAGAGGCCTCAGCGTGTAAACTTCTGCCATTATACAACCAACAGCCCAAATATCTATTGGAGAACTATAGCTGGTGGATCTCAGAAGGACTTCAGGAGCCCTGTACCTGTAAGAAATTAAAAACACAAAGAAACAAATCCCAACAATCAACACAATTCAAACAGACATACACAAAACCGTTCAGCTCATCCTTCTTTGCTGTTAAGAGTAAACATCCCTTAAAAAGCTCCTATCCTCTCCTATCTTCATTTTTTTCCCCAGAATGAAGAATTAAAACCTACATAACCTCTTGTAAGCTCTTTTATGCTTTCCCGACATGCAGCAATCTCAGCATCTCCCACCTGCCTTATCAGGCTCCCTCTTTGCTCCTGTGCTGCTGCCATCTCTAAACTGTCTTGTACTAACTGAAGCTTTTCGAATTATGCCAAGCTTAAATTAAAGTTTCATAAAGAGGAGGCATCAAAAGTAGTATTACATTCAGCACGAATGCAATACATGTCTTTAAAGACTTGATTATTAAGTTTCACACAATGTAGGTGAATACTAGCACTTACCATCTTGTGGATACATAATCAGTGTAAGGAGGTCTAGATCGGATTTCTCGGGCTAAGCCAAAGTCTGCTATTTTCACAAGTTCTGGTCCCATGCAAAGGAGATTTTCAGGTTTCAAGTCTCTGTGAAAGAACCCTAAAATTCAAATGAAATATTGGCATCCATTGCAACACCACCCACAGATGCAGCTTTTATTTTCTACATGGATTGTTTTGCTTCAGTTTTTATTGCTGAACACAGAGTTCACAGTCTGATGTGATCAACAGGGCTAGTCAGTATAGCGGTCATTCAGTCAGACTGTGAAAAACAGTATACATAAGTTGACTATCTTATAAGAATTCAGAGCATTCAGTCAGATAGCTCCCTTTCAAGTGACACCTCTTTAACGCAAAAAAATTTACACCATTTTAATGTTAGTTTCGTTCTAATTGAGTTGCAAACTGTGCAATGAAGACATAAAAAAATTACTTCAAACGTTCTTTTAAACAGAATACGAATTAAAACATGAGGCAATTTTTTGCACTTTGAAACTTCTTTTTAAATCTGAGTACATAATAATCTGCAAGCACTCTGTCAGACAGAGGATCTCAATGTATTTTTTTAAGTGCTCTCTGCATTCAGCAAAACTTGACCACAGGTGAGCACTCCGCAAGAGCTCTTCCATTACAAATGAGAGAAGAGGGCTAGAATATTACTGACTGCTGTCTCTGAAATTTGTTTCCACCCCTAGTCTGGAAAACTTGTCCTTATGCTTTTTTCTTGCAGGCATCCAAGACCACTGTTTCCTAGATACAGCTCCCTCTGTGGCACCTTACTAGAGGTTTGTGACCTCCTTTTCAGAAACCTTCCAACATGCTTAGTTTTTTCCATGGCCTTGAATATGCTCCCACAGAGAACAGAATAATCACTCACATAGGATGTGTCTACACTGTCCAGTATAACTATATTAACTTTTGTTTGATAGATTGAAGCATTGAAAACATAGTGCTGTAGATTTCTACCAACCAGCAGATTACGTCCTTCTAGGGATACTATTAAGTAGATGTTCTGGTGCCAGCTTGAACTACTGCCTCTTTGTGGAAGGTACCAGACAGATTAATCAAGGTTGCTTTTAGCATTTCGTATAATCACTTCTGTATTTTGCCACAAACATGCAATGCACCAACAGAATGCTTTTGAGGCAATTTATTTCATGGCAAACTTGTAAAAAGCCACCGATTGTGTATTCAAATATGAAAAGATGCTTAGAGTTTGGATGGACAAAGAACATAAAAAGTTTACTTGACAAGCATTTCTATGCCATACAGAAGGAGAACAGAGAAATAAAAGAGAGGGAAAAAAAGTTCATGTGTTTTTTCCAAACTGTTGCAGAGAGAATCTTGGGACACCCAGTCTCACACTGTGAGCCACCAGACCATCAAGACCATCCTGTCAGGCTTGCCATGAATTTCCAGCTCTTTGTAACTACAGCTTTGCAATATCTTGGCAGAAATATCAGTCTACTGCGTAGCAAGTCAGTGAACAAGATAGTCAGTTTTGACACAAAATTGTTCATTCTTTATAGCTATATAAGTTAAACAGCAGTAAAAGGTATTCTGAAAGGTTGTGATCCATTTGACAATTTATTAAAAAAGGTGGCTTAGATTTTTGCAAAGAAATCATATTATTTTTCTGTTTTTAAGTAGTTCGCATCTCACTGGAACAGACTGGAATTTCTAGTTAGGTTTCAGAAAAGTATCCAAGCCCCATTAGAACAGAGAATAAAGCCATTGGCTTGAAAATGTTTTCGAAAACAAAGTTAAATGTGTTGTTCAAGTGAATTGAAATGCTGGTCCTACAAGCCTTTCACTTCCAAGTCTCTGGCCACCGACATTAGTTCTCTTCTGATAACCCCAAGAGCTGACCAGCAGCGTACACTACAGCGTATCAAGCAGGCAGAACTGGAGAGGGCAGCAAAACATGGTTAATTTATTATAAAAATAAATCTTTTTTTGTTGTTTAGTGGGTCTTGCTACTACTGGCTGGTACACCAGCTTTAGCTTTTATCATTACTGTAAAAATTAGCTGGAAGGCCATGCAATAAAAGCTGTTTGTCACTCAGAGTTTATTACTTTAAGTGTATCTTACAGAGAATGTGTGTTTTATTCAGGTATCTGTGTGTACCTTGGAAAAAAAAAAAAAGTAGTTTTTCCTTTATTCTCAATCTCGAGGGACCTCTAAATCTATCAAGAAATGTGCCCATTAGCATCAGGTTATGTTTTAGAAAGTGGCTAGCTGCCAGTTTGAGAAAGTAGAAATCTACAGAAAAGGAACTGAGTAGACCTCCAGACTAAAATTTCAGGCAACTATAAAATATGGGTATTTTTAGCAATATGGATCTCTCATATAGTGCCATTCTTTTGATCACTCCCTTTACTAAAGTTAGTAATGTAACTGTTAGTGTACTCATTAAAAAGCTTACACAGACACTATCTTGTTCTAGTTCAAAATGTTTACAGCTAAAAGATAACCTACCATGCTTATGGATAAACGCAAGCCCTTGCAGGATCTGATACATAATATTCCTAACTGTAGACTCAGGAAACAGTTTGTTTCTGTGGGATAAAAGAAATGGGAAGAAATAAATATTAATGTTAATGATTAAGTTCACACATTAGCTTACGCTAGCTAATGAACCAAGGATAAAAGGTAACAATGACATTAAAACTGCTACATACATTTTAAGCACACTCATATAGTTTATTTCTCCAATAAAATTTACACAGTATCTGCAAAACTGCCATATAACTTATGTAACATGATGTTAAGACCATGTGAGAGTGAGAGTGAAATAAAAAAGGGGAAAGAAAAAAAATTAAAAGAAAATTGGCCAAACTGAATAAACCTTAACATGTACAGGTCATGAGGCACACTCCTCAAGACAGCAAGGGTTCATGTTAATTTAGTGCTTTTCATGCACAGTTTCTTCTGGCCTTTCTTCTAGAGTATGTAGAAGACATACTTTTGATTCTCCCTTGTTATTATCTAACAGCTGATGTACTACCTCTTTCTCTTCTGTTATCTGAAACAAACCAGTCTCATCTGCTACCACTGCAAACAAGAGGCTCTTCTCCTCACAATATTCAGGCAAGAAGATCAGCCACAGCAGGCAGGTTAATGACAGCCCCTCTTACCAAGAGAGGATTCTGATCAAACAGCTCTGTACCAGCTGCCTCTGTGCATGCCAAAACACAGTAGAGACAGGCTGGAGTGGAAATCAGTGACAATTTTATTCAGAAAGAGCCAAACAGTGAATGAAGAAGATGGCCTGGGCCTTATTCAACTTCCTGAGCTTGATTCCTCTCAAAAAACTGACCGTCACATATTTCAAAAGTGAGATCAACTACTACAGTCAGCTTTTCATATTTGCTTGCTTATTTTTTTAATTACAGCACAAAGGGAGTCATATTTCCTCTACAGTCCCTTCCAGCAAAACTGGTAATTTTAACTAAGACTAAGCAAATAAATCACATCCTTAAAAGTTTGATTTATACAATCCAGGGCCTAGCTAAACCACAGAGAACACGATGCATAGCACACTGCTACAGATATCTGCCCTTTTGTTTTCATAAGAAAGTAGGATATATCAAGCACTTTAAAGAAATTCCTAAAAGAGAACTGGTTTGTATGTTACGCACTTGAACCATTTTCTCAAGGTTCACCATTTCGTATAATTAAAAATCAGCATCCATATGTCCAACTTAATTAGTTATTCTATACCTGTGCATGCACAATAAGTATTTTTATGTTTAAAAAGGTATTTTATGAAGTATTCACAGAGATACGTTACAATAACAATCTTCCTTTGTTAAAACAAGTAAGATTACTGTCATCTCCCAAGCTGATTCTATGGCCCATAGAGAGAAAATGGCCATCTCAGAGAACAATTCAAAGCAACGAGCTATTTTGCCCCAAATTATCCTCTGGAAGATGCTATCATGGCCCAAAGGCTAAAATTAAGACTTTATTAATGCTCCAGCAAATATCAAAAAGCTTGATTTTATTGAGAACACTGACAAATACAATAGACGGTCTTTGGATATGTCAGTTCAAATTGCAAGGAAAAAGAAATATTCCTAGAAGCAATCCAGATCGCAATCCAATCATGATTACTGTTTCAACCACTTTTTATTTAGTCATTTATTTGAGGAAGCCACAATAGAAGAGGCGGTGATACCAACCTCTAATATAAAAAGCACTGCCTGTTGGAGTACTTACGTAGGAATCAGAAGTTCTAGGTTCAATGCCTTCTCAGGGTGAGGGCTGTCAAAAGTCCACAGTTCCTAACTCTCAAAAGAGCGCCCTACTTCTCTGCCAGGCTAATCTGGGAAGAGACACTAGAAACTCTCACTAAAGTGTTTGGGATATGTTCAAAGGTGACAGCCACAGCTCTTACTGCAGCACACAGCCTTAAGCCACAGTGATCCAAAGTCCTTTGAAAAGTAACAGGGGTGATAAAAACACATGACGCAAGTAATTAATTTATATCAGAAACGGCTGATGCTGCTACATACCTTTCTTTCATCAACTGATAAAGATTTTCCTTCATATATTCAAACACAAAGTACAGATGATCATTTTCCCTGATAACTTCTTTCAGCTTTACTACATTGGCATGGTTTAATTTCTTCAAAGACTAGAAACAGAAAATACAAACAGGATTTTATGAGGGTCTTACTCTAACCAAAAAAGAAGAAAAACTATTTCACCAATGTGTAAGACCTGGCTTCAAAAAAACTCTTCAATATTTTAAATAATCAGACAGCTCTAAGGACAAAGACAAGGTCTCCAACCCAACACACATACAATATACGTATCAATTTAATGTGCTGGCCATTCAAAAACCAGCTATCCGGCATGACAGTAGGCACCAAAACAACTGCATTTTCTCTATAAAGCAACTTCCTACTGGCAGAATTCACAATCTTCTTGTACTTCCACTGGCAATAGTAAGGTTAGACTTAGGACTAAACATAACCCTGGAAATTCTTCCTCAGTATTATGGATTAAACCTAGCGGGCAGCTGAGCTTGCTCATTCCCCCCAGTGGGATGTGGGGAGAATGGGAAGGGCAGAAAATGAGAAAACTCAAGGGCTGAGATAAGAACAGGGTAATAGGTAAAGCAAAAGCTGTGCATGCAAGCAATTCACTCGCTGCTTCCCATCGGAGGGCAGGTGTTCAGCCATCTCCAGGAAAGCAGGGCTCCATCACACAGAATGGTTACCTGGGAAAACAAATGCCATCACTCTGAATGTCCCCCCCTTTCCTCCTCCTCCTCCCAGCTTTTCTTGCTGAGCACAGTGACCTATGGGATCCCCCTTTGGTCACAGCTGTCCTGGTTGTGTCCCCTCCCAGCCTCTTGCCCAGCCTCAGCCTACTCACTGCAGGGAAGCATGAAAAACAGAGAAGTCTTGATGCTGTGCACGTACTGCTCAGCAGTAACTAGAACATCCCTGTGTTATCAACACTGGTTTGGTCACAAAGCCAAAATGTAGACCCATACAAGCTGCTACGAAGAAAATTAACTCTATCCCAGCAAAAACCAGCATACTTGGGTCTTCATTCTCCCTTCTTTTTAGATTTTCAGTGTATTCTACATTCATTCTTTCCGTAGCAACACAGTACCAGGATGTGCTACTGTAAGAAAAGTGACCTAGGTTTTCTGCATGTTTGCAACAGTGATGGCAAGGACCAGAAATAAAAGCAGGTCTGTAGAACACACCCCTAAAGCTCTGCTGGTGTCAGAATTTCATGCTAAATATCTGCCCCCAAAACCACCTATCCAGAAACAACTACATGTACAGAGGTCACTCCTGTGCAAAGGGCATGTGTTCTCAAGCTCTTAAAAGCAAACACCAATCAACTCCAGGTTTTGTGACACAAAAGCTCTCTCGCTCACACACCACGCACTGCAAGGAGGAAGCAGCTCCCTACAACCAAATAATTTTTTTGTAAGACTACAGAATTTTAATAAGAACTTTTATAAGACTACCGTCATGCAATTCAAATGCAGAGCCACGAAACAGAACTGTAATGCCATACGCCACAGCTCACGTTGGGGGGAGTTTTTGATAAAACAGGTGGAAAGAATTTGATGCTACCCCAAAATGTGTCAGGGATTGTCTAAAGTCAACCATCAAATGAAACAAATACCTTAACCTCTCGAAGGTTCATGCATTCCTCCCAGGAATAAAACTTTCTCTTCATTCTACAGTAGTAGAGAGGGGGAAAAAAATGATTAAGACATGGCCAACATCAGCTGGTCTTAGACCCGTAACTCTCATTACATCTTAACAATTCAGTTCTTCCATCAAAATACAAGGTGTTATCTCCTTTGTCAAAAAACTTTACATCTCTAGATAAGGTACTCTGATAAAATGTAAAAGCATGACTGTTACAGGATTGCCTTTTTTCATATATATATTTTCCTGCAAAAATTTCAGAGCCTTCAACAAGTCAGGGCACACTATTTTTCTTTCCAGTATACAGTGCGATGGAGTAGAGTCTAATTGTAAAAACAACAACGGTTACGACAGTTAAGAACAACTCAGACTGAATTTTGAGCAAATCTAATGAAGACCACATGAAATCACTTCACTGGGTCTGCAATTTTATCATATCCCTCCTGCTCTTCTACTCTGTATTTTGGTTTCTCTGTAATTTCAATACCTTTCCCCTCTAAGTTGTATTGCTTCATCTTTCAGTGTCCACTGCTCCCCATGTTTTTCTCTCCCTCGTGAGCTGCATCTATCATGCCAACTGCTTTTCAAATTCTGCCTTTCCTTTCAAGTTTATAAGCAACTCTGCTCTACCAGAAACAAACTATGTGGCAGATTTGCTTTCTCCTAAGCCAGAATATAACTCTGAATACAGTATTTGTCCATATGCATTTTGATTACGACTCAGTTCTTTCACACATAACTCTATGCTTTAGGACCAACAGGATGAAGGCTCACACGTACACGCACAGAGAAGAGCACCGATTAAACTTAGAAAAATACCTAACCGCTTTTTGTTTAAGCGGTGGTTTTGCAGTTACTGTCTTGCGCATTCAGCCACCAGGCCATTTCTGTCCTTAATAAGGGACCGGCATTAATGCATAAGCTAAGAGAGTACCATCTTCTGGTTTGTTCCAGAATTTTTGAGTTTCTACCATGTTGCAAAATGAAAATCAAAGGTGCCTCTGGCAAGATTTGATACAGGAAAAAAACCCTCAGCACAGAGGATTTAGAAAGTTGCTAAAGCCAGCTATTGACTGTTCATACAAAACAGCATTGTACTGAAAGCTCTTTCGACAAGTATGTCCCTGGGTCATGGCTGGAATTTCAGGAAGGTGCCTGCAATACTTTACAGCCGTCTCTTACCACAGCTAGGACAAACAAGCCATTTACAAACGGAGGTCACTGCTGAAACAGCAGAGAAAATCAAGTGGATTTCTCCAGGAATTTTAAGAAAATCTTAAGCTGAAAAGTCCAATACATAATAGCCTATAAAGATACAGATAGTGGACACTGAGATCCATTGTGTGAATTATCACTGCAGTACTAACATTACACTGGAAATTAGACCATGAATGTACATTCCATGTAAGCAGCACAGAAGGGGCTGCAGATTCCAAAGCAGCCTTGCAGAATACTCTAAATAATATACATAAAACACGTTTGACTGCACATAGTAGCAGAGCACCGTTACAATAAGCCTATCTATCTCACTCTCTTTACCTTCTGCTGAGGCTTTGGAGCACACAAGGAATTTGAGCTTTGTTTGCTGCCCCAGTACAACTCCAAATACAAACGTGGTGTGGAATATGAAGTACTCAAACCAGCATGACCAAGTGATGCGGACTACAGAATGGAAAAACCTGGACCATCCACTGTCATGTAATAAATGAAAATACTTACTTCTTAATGGCTATTAGCTCTCCGGATTCAATGCTTCTCCCTAGGAGGACAGAGCCGTAGGTTCCATCACCAAGCTGTCTGATAGTTGTGTACCTATTCATGATGAGGATACTTTAGCTTGCAAGCGCATTTCAGTCCTTAGTGTTTCTTCTCAGAGTATAACCAGTTCTTTCTGTGGCAGCATAAATATAGAGCACTCAGGACAGTGTGAACAGTTGCAGGTATCATGTTTTCAAGACTTAGCCTTTGGTCTGAAAGCACAGAACATAATCCATTTCATTTCTGTACCCTTCCAAGATGGCTTGTTTGTAGACTCCATTCTCCTCCAAGAGATATTCCTTGTAAGCTACACAAAAACACTTGTCTTGGTCTCTCATCACGAAGGGCTAGCCTGTATCTGGACATAACTGGGTATGTTCCCCAAATCCACTCTTACGCTAAAGTTGGAGGTACTTTACAGCAAGCTTGCAGGCAGCCCTAACGGAAGAAACTACTACTAAAAGCAGAGGATAAGGTCTCATAGCTTGGAGAGAACAGCTTGCTATCAGAAAAATGAAGCATTACAGTAAAATAGGAGGGAATCTGTTCTAGCCAAATTATCAGACATGTAAGTCACCATCTCACAATTCACACTGCCATCAATCAAACCAACTTCCTGACTTTCCGTAAGGTCCTATGCCAGAGATATAGCTGTATGTATTCCCTTAAAGTCTTCAGAGATAGAATATTATATTCATGTCAGGTAAGACCAATTATATTTCACTACAGTAGCCCTAAGCATGAATCAGTCTCTAAAGTAGTGGCTATATCAAGTTATCTATCTGACCTTTTGTCCCGACACTGCATGAGCAACAGAATGCTAGACAAAAAAGCAAAAAAGTTCTTATTCCCTCATTTAATCTAATTGTTGATAGTATTTCCTACACTTTAGTGCAGAACAGATGTGATCTATTCACATAAATTAACCATACATTTGAAATATAACAGAATTCCCCTGCAACAAGGGTTTGGTCCCTGCATTTTCTTTTTTCTTTAATTCCAAGAGGACAGAAATATTTATGGCTGGTGACTTTTGCCTTCTGTAACCTGCATTTAAACTACATTTCCACAACTTTTTTTTTTTTTTTGTAGCAGCCTTAAATCTCACCTCCATCTTGCTTTATTTCACAAAGCCAAATTAGGATTTTAAAAGTAACGGGATTATGTTGCTTGAACTCTGAACTGACATCAATGCAGAGACACAATCCTGCAAATGCAAGATGTTGTGAAGATCCTTTGTTTTCAGCCTTCTAAGCCCATTAGCCCCACTAATACTGACACAGGAACAAACACAAATTAGGAATACGATGTTAACATGCCTTTTGACAATTTTACACATCGTGTACCAAAAAGAAACAGCATGTCTCTAGCTCTTAGACACTGAGTAGTGTCTCAGACAAGCAGGAGGAATTGCCCTCTAGCAATGCCTGCTTCTCTCCACATGCTGCTACAGAGAACCACAACTGAGCACCTCAAATTAGAGACTTAATCCCACATTTCATACTACTCGCCAAGGAACACAGAACCTGTCCGTAAGAAGAGCACTTTGGAGTACCAGCTTCTTTTTGGCTGGTTTTCAGGCTGCGCACCTGCATAGCATAAAGCTACGTTTGGGCAATGTTCTGCATCCAGGTTAAAGGTTTGGTTCCTCCAGCTAGTCGAGGACTGGATAGCAACTCAGAAGCCTTGGCTCCCAGGCTTTTATTCAGACCCTTGGCAAAAATTTCAACTAACGACTTTGCATGGTCTCCTTGTCTGAAAAAGTAACACTTATTAGCATCCAAACAAATAATCTTATATGGTAACTTCAAATTGAAACAGATGGGACTTGCTGATTTTTCAGCACATACTCCGCTAACGAGAGGGTTCTGAAACTGTAACCTTAACAGATGCGATGGCTTACAGCTCATGGACCATTATGCCACCCCTGCTTGCCACTCACCTATCCCTTTCCAGGGGATGTAACTGCAGAGCGGTGGAGCATCTTTGCCTCATGTTTGATAACCACAGCAAACCAAAAGACGCACAACACTGCTAGCACACGACAGTGCTAGTAATAATCACCCACGGCCATCACGGATAGATAATTTGTCTGATGTGTCTTGAATAGATGAACTGGTGAACATAACTGCCTATTCCTTACTGGGGATACTAATTTACGCCTCTCTCCTTTCCACAGCCACCAATTTTCACAAAACTTGTAAGAAATTATCTTTGTGACTCCCGCTCTGCTGTCAAATGCAACAAAAATAGGCAAATGAACAGAAATATAAAGGGGAGGCAAAGAACCTAGAAAGGAAAAGCCAGAAAACACAGATTTCAGTGAGGAATGCACGTTTAAAAAGACGCTGGGATTCACAGAAGTTAAGACGGCTCCTATGGAAGCACAAATCCACCCGTATGAAAATCCACTGAACAGAACATAAATAAAGTCTTCTTTGGTTAATTACATCAGTATCATTTCTTGATGGGCTTAATAGCGAAGTTGTTCTTTAAAATCTATTTTACTTTGCAAGATTTAAGTTCTGTTCTTATCACCTTCTGCTCTCACCTTCAACTACGGGAATAAACTAAACCTTAGCCTGCAGACTGCTTCACGTAAGTAACGCCCACTGAAATCACTGAAAGGAGCACTCAAGTCTCTGACAGGCAGTTTGCAGAGCTACAACATGTATAATTGAGTCTAGATTCTAGTCTAGAACCACAGTCTAGGCAAACTCACGTTGTTAGAGGATGCAAATACAAACTGCAAAACTGTCACGGAATAAAAGACTGTGTTGGTACTAAACACAAAAAAGTAAAAGCCTCATTCTTACCATATTTTAATACCAAGTTCGGACGCTACCTCACCTATAAACATTTTTTCCCCACAGAAATCAATCAGTAAAGCCCCTTTAAAAGCAAGCCTAATTTGATATATCAAGACTCCCTTCTGACTACAAGTGTAACTCAAACGTAATATTTCGCTTATGTTCGCTTTAAACAAGTACCCGCTCCCGTTTGAAGGGCTGAGGCGCTGAGAACTGAAAGTGAAAGTGGCTCACCCCCTGCCAGAGCCGAGAAACGCCAACAGTAAACCACCACTAACTCCCTTTTAAAATTCCTTCTCTGCTTTGGCAACAACCTGAAGGTGTTACTAGCAGGACGCACAGAAAGGCGTGGTTTAAAGCCGCGGGTTTCGAGCGATGCTGTCCCTGCAGCCGCCGTCTGTGCCTGTTCGCGGAGGCTTTGGGGTGCCCCGTGAGCTGGAAACCAGGGCAGAGGCGGTGGGAAGCATCAGCCCCGCGGCAGCAGGAGGACCCGGGGCACTGGGGAGATGGCGGGCAGGCGAGCGGCGGGCCTCTGCGCCTCTCCGCCACGGCAGGCCAGGTCGTGGCTGCC